AGCAGATGGCAAATAAATAAAGGTATGATTTATAGATTTATATTCTTATGAAGACAGAAGGGGGAAGAAAATATTGTTTTCCATGGAAATGTAGCTTTAGCCATATGCCATTTGTGTGGTTCTTCAATAAACTACATGTCCAGGTATAAATGTTTGCTTTGGAGGACAGAAAGGATTTTGTTTACCATCTCAGTTTTCTTTCCTATTTTAGAAATAGTAAGTTTGCTGAATTGCTCTTTGAGTAACGTTCTTTGAAAGGCTCAGAGGAGAGGAGATAGGAACATTTCTAGTGAGAAGTTAACTGAATATGGATAGAACAATGAATCTCATTTTAAAAGATGCTACAAAAACAAATAAACCAAACCAAATAACTACTATGAAAAAAAACACATTTAGATTGAAGATTTCTCTTTCTTAGCAGATTTAACATTAAATTCACTGACTGCAAGGGAATGCACTTATTCAAATTGTATCTTGACCTTTTAAATTTCCTGTCAACTTTTTTGTACACAGTTTGTACTCAATCAGTATTGTGAAGAAAGGAGTTTCTCGCCATATATTACAAACAAAAATCTAGCACAGTGAGATGCTGGTCTCAGTTAGGGCTGCTAAATGGAAAAATTACCTTACAATACTTCCATCTAGCATGTCGAGCAATTCAACTGCTAGCTATTTATCTGAGGAAAGCAGAAAGTACAGACAGACATGTCACAGTGAACAAGGTAAAGGTGAACTGATTAGCCCTATTTCAGTCTACTCTACCCAAATAAAAACTACGAAGCACACTAAAACATAGAGCTCTAAGGCTGAATTCTTCAGCATTACCTATGGAATCTTTTGGCAAATAATGTGTACCTACAACACAGTTAACTATCAAAGTTAGATCCCAACTGCAGTATTAACTGCAGGGTTTGGAGACTTTTTTTGCTAATGAGACTGACATCTAGTGGCTTCATTTACCAATCCTCAAGCACGTATTTATTTCAGTGTATTCGTTTTATAAAAGTCTGGGAGCCAGACACTTTACCTGCCTATAATTGTGTGGTTTGGGGTCTTCATACACACCAGGCTTATGTTTGGTGTTCTTCACAAAGAGTGTTTTGGCCTCATAAGAGTTGATCCGTTGAAAGCAAGTGACAAGCTGGAGAAAGTCCCTTCTCTTTTCTGGAAGAGGAAGGAGCAGCCTGGACCTATGCCGGAAAGCTCTTGCATGGCTATGGTCTCAGAGGTACTTTTTGGGTTCAGTTCCTCTTTCCTCCCTCCTTGTGGCTTCTGAGAAGTGTTGGATGATCTATAGAGCTGAAAGCTAAAATTAGGAGGCTGCTTTAGCCATATGTCTGTATTGGCTTTGGATTGCTGCACTGCAGTGTGTTGTTGGGAGAAAGGCTAGACAAGGCTTGAAGAAAGTTTGCTATGATTTTCAAATAAAATTTTTCTCTCTTCTTGGTGGAGGATGAACACACATATACAACAGAACATTTATTATTGATTGCTGCTTTCAGTAGCTAGTCCTGTCTGCATAACCTAGTACATTCACTGAAGATAAATGTGTAACTGTACTTTAATATTATATTGTACCTGTGCTTAGATGAATTATTGCTTCTTGATACTTTCTTTCAGTTCTGCGAAGTAACCTAGAGAAACCCCATCTGAAGCCAAAAGCATGGATGTTCAGGAATTTACGCATTCATTCCAGCCTGTAGGAACTGAAGCTCTGACTTTCATTTTGTCTGAAATACCCATCACTAAGTAACAATACAAATACACCCTCTCCACATTTTTGTTCTTGCCTCGTTAAGCAGTACAACCTTGACAGGAGACTAAACCTGTGCACATGCAGGGCAGCACAGCAGGGGGGGTGGGGTTAGTTGGGCAGCAGTGGGCCCACACTAGTCTCACACTGCACAAGTAGAAGTGACCAAATGAACCTTAAATGAGAGAAATGTTGAAGCCCTGGTCTCCATGCTTCCTGATGCACTTTCATCTTGCTCTGCATTCCTGGGCACACCCAAGCCACAACATTCATTAGAGCTGCCCCATTGCTATCCTGGTATAGGACCAGGTGTTATGTCCTGCCATGGGCTATCTCATCAGCAGTGCCACTCAAGCTTCACCTTCTTGCCCAGAGGTACAGAGAGGCCCTTACCTACACCCAAGGATGCCTCTGGGCAGGGTGAAAAACCACTGGAGCAGCATTAACACCCTAAATAGGCAATAAAGTATTTAACTCTTCGCACAAGCTAGATACTGTGTTATCTCTGTTTTGTCTCTATGATCTAAAAGCCATTCCCATACTCTGTTATCTTTCTTACACAAGAGTTCCTTGTACACCCCAAAAATCTGGAAGAAATACATAGACCGTAAGGGTATTGCAACAGGCCCCAACATAATATAAACAATTTTTTCCTACTTTGTTTAATACTCAATGCTCAGGAAACCTGAAGGAAAGCTATAACATTACAACTTTCTCTACTTTGTGCTTATTCATTCTGAGGATAGAATGTTTTGGGGTTTTTTTATGGAATAAGCTTGTAGTCCATTGAAGGATAAGGGCATATGGAAATGTGTCCTATCAACAAAACTCTGTTTCTGAAAAAGGATTTGGGTAGGCAGCTCACTGGAGATAAATTAAGTTCCCACAAACTCTTTTCATACACTGGGTAACATTCACCACTAACTTATGAGTTACATGAATACCCATTCCTCCTTACCTCTCAATCCTCAACCTATTTTCTCCAGCCCTAATTTTCTTCCTAAAACCAAGGTTTTGCATGCAGAGGAAGTTTCTAAAACTATTCTATGATTCTCCATTAATTTCACCAAAGCAAAAAGTCTATGTATTTTCACACATCCCACCTCTGCCCCCTATGTTACTATTGATATTCCATGTATATGTTTGTATCCTAGGAACTGGAACTCACTGATCCAAAATACCTGCAGATCCATATGCACAGTGGTGAATAAGGACACAAAAGAGAAGCAAAGAACAAAAAAAGATAGAGATTGACTCACCAGTCTGCAAAAACGGGGACTTCCAGACAGACTTCATATGCTTCACCACAGAAAGGTTCTCTTTCCTCTCTTCTAGGGGAAGTTAAGTAAAGGGACAAACTTGCAGCACACCCTTACTCAGAGAATTTTTTATTCTTCCATTGTAGAAAAGAGCTGGAATAAACAATCTACCCATCTGTGTTGCTAAGAAACAAGGCACTGTTGCCTTGGGACTTGATTCAGAATTCAAAAACGAGAATAGTGTCTCACAGGACTGCATAAATGCAGCTTGAAGCCTAGCAACAAGACTACAAGTTCATTGTGCTTCTCTTACATGTTAGAAAACAAAGGACTTAGAAAGAAAATATATGACTGAGACAAAGAAAACAGTAATTTGAAAATAAAACAGAGGTGGTGTATCACCAATTATCCTAAGGGGTGGGGTGGAACTATGTTTTACTAAACATACTTTTGTGACCTGTAAGATCTGGTGTGTTTTGACCTGTGTTTTGAGCAGGTTCATATTTACTATAACAAGTGAATATAAAGCAGCATCAGTATTTACACTAGTATCCTAAATATTCAACTTGTTCATTATAAGTGACAACACAAGAGTCAGGATAGCAGAATTTATTTCCATTTGTATTTTGGTTTTCAAGCACTCTACCAACAGAACAGTTGACAGTTGCTACACGCACTCTGAAATGGTCACTCAAAATGGCATGGGTTGGATAACTGGAGCAATTACTTAACCACATGCACACAGACTGTTTTCTGCATTTGCTGATGGGCAAGTGAAGTATAAATTAAAAAACGTTATATACCCTTTCACCTTAACAAATGGTCATTGCATGCTCTTGGAAATTACATTGGTTCAATCAGCTATTTCATTGACAAACCTGTTCCCTCCAGTTGCAGAATGTCGCTACACCACCGAAACTGGCCAGCACTGCAGCCAGGTAGGCCAAGTTTGAGCAGAGTTATAGTTCTCAGATGAGAAAAGAGGTTGTTTTTTCTTTCCTTTTTGGTGTTCCATCATGAAATCATAAAAAGATATTCTTCAGCTGTGTGATATGACTGTGTACATAATGAATTTAACTGGAGATGAAGAAGGAAACAAAATTCAGTGGTGTAAATCACCCCTGAACAATTATCACATTTGTTTCTTTGATTTTCTTCTTATAAATAGACTATTTTGAAAACAAAGAAAAGAAAAGAAAAATTCTCTTCCTCAAATATTTTTAAGTTTGCAGGACTTCCATGCAGTTCCTTCAACATTTATGTTGTTCCAGTTGCTCAGTCAAGACCAAAAGACTATCTGCAAAAATACCTTTGTCATTCGTTTGTTTGGTTTTGAAGGACATTCAAAACCCTTTGAGAGGGTATACTCTTACAATACCTTTTTATTTGTTTTTAAAGAAATTGACATTTCTTTAGGCCTTTAGTTGAAAAAAATTTGGAGATTGTAGTTGAGCTTTGTGGTAGGACTTTGTATCAGTTCAAACAAGAAAGATCTCATTGTGATCCTAAAGTAAATAAGATATAATTGCAAGTTTATGCTGTTCAGATACCTATAGTTTGACTGAAGAGAAAATAAAGTCTAACAAAATTCCTTAAGAATTTGAGGATTTGAATTCCTTAAATCACTTGAAGAAATAAAATAATTTCTCATTGCCAATAGATGGCAGCATGTTACTTACTTTACAAGGTAAGGGAGTTTTAAAACCCAGGAAAGCTGAGGAGCAAGTCTTTTTGCTCTATCGTAGCATAGGATGAGGGCTTGACATTTTCCTACACAAAACCACCTCATGTTTTCAGCTAAATGTAAGCTGTTTGTAGAGTTAAATAAGATTAAGGAGACCTTAAGAGTACAAGCTAGAAAAAGCAGTAAAGCTAGTCAGGATTCTAGTCTGAGCTGCAGAATCGTCTTAGGGACAAGCAAGCACAGATGGAATATCATACCCAGATTTAACCTTGAAAACCGTAGCCAACAGTATCTATGCTTTATACCTTGATAGAAGGTATTTCAGAAAAAAAAAAAAAGATAGAGAGGAAAAAAACGAGAAAAAAATAGGGGAAAAAAAGAAAATAAACCCTTCCCATTCATTCTTTATAGATGGTAAAAGAAAAAAGGATGAAAAATGTTTTCTTCAATCACCATTAGCACAGAAAGAAATACATATCACTTAACAGAAGCCTTATCTTGACCCTTTGAGCAGGTTGTGTTCTTCAATAATTTTTAGGTGTTTTAAACTTGAATTGTTCTCTGCTATATTGATTCCAAAGAGTCAAAAAGAAAGCAAAACCAAAAAAAAAAAAAAAGGAAGAAAGAAAAAAGGAGATTTACTTCTGATTTTGAAAACGGACAATTCTTATCATCATTTTCCAGTCTATGTTAGAAATACAGTCTTTCCTCAGGCTCTCAGCTTTTTGGGATAGTGACCTATTTTCTTCTTGTATTTCTGTGTCAGTTAGGACAAAAAAGTTCAGAGCCCTTGTTTGGGATATATCATAGTAATACTCCAGCAATAACTCAAAAAAATCAGGAAGGTGTCACTAGGTGTTGGCAGTTCTGATTTAGTCTTTGCATTCCTGCAGAATTTGAGTATGTCCACTGAAGTGAGTGCAAAGGCAGTGTGAGTCAGAATTAATTATTGAAAACCACTACTGGAGCAACAGAAAGAAAGATTACATCACAGAAGTTTGCATTACTGTGTAAAATGTTGATCAGTATGTGATAACAGGGTAATATTTCATTATTCCTCAACTAGGATATAGAATGGTGTTTGAGGGCAAATGTTGGCTTAGTGTTTCCCTGCTATAACTCATTTAAGTAAGGAACAAGCCTACAGATTTCATAAATCCACTTCTTACTTCTCAAATCCTATTAGAGACTGAGTAGAATAAACCCTGGTTTATACTAAAATAACTGTTTTATTTCTCTCTCACTGAGTAGTTGTTAGTCGAACCAGGGAATAAGAAGCATGTCTGCCCCATGGAATGCAACTCTGAAATAACCCAGCTAACTCCAGGATCAATGCCTATGGACCAAGGTCAAGGTGACACATCCATTGCCACTAATTAGCCCTCATATTCAGTGTCATGCAAACCTAATTCTGTTGCATTCAAGTGCTGGAGTTGAGAAATGGAAGCCAGCTCAGAGCTTTTTAGGCTTCTCTGCACTACACAAGGAGTTGTGAGGACAATTCCTTATCATCGCTACTTCCACAGAGATGAAGGAAAAAGAGAACAGTCTCAAAGGCTAGGCAGGGGCAATTCCTATTTCTTAAAAATGCAATAGGCAGGAAAAACAGCTAGGATACCTAGAGTAACAAACCAAACAATAATGAAAACCAAAACCTGAAAACTAGCACCAACACTTGTCAAATTTGAGTCCTTATAGACTTTTTCTTTTATCTGGCTCCACCTTCAAACACCTAGACTGTAGTTTACCTTAAGATATTTTATGACACAAAACAAAAAGCCTCATCTAGTTTTGCTGTGGGTAGTTGCAAATTGAATCCTAGGAATCCAACTCTCCCTATTCAATATGCTCTGTCTCAGTCTTGTGAATCACTTTTATATCTGGGTACCTAACCTGGAGGCATCAGAGAGTTATGCAATATGGTTCCTAAAACATTCTGTTGGATACATCCTGGGAACTTTTCAACACAATGGTGTCCTTATAAGTACCTTTAACAGGCTGCAAACTGGGGGAGGACAGAGTGAGTTGCAAGACAAGGGAGGGGGAGTGGCCATGTCCCAGAGAGCATCGTAGGCATAGACATATGATATGGAAGGAGGAACTGAGACTGGTCTTGATTAGCACTACCTTCAGACTTGCAGACAGTGAACACAAGAACCCTGCTGGTTCTGTCTTCTGTGAATAAGTAGGGACCTAATAAATGTTCTAAGCAAGTTGTCCTTGAAAGACAGTTTCAGTCATTACTTTGTTGTCTTTTGACAAATACAGATGAAAGCAATTTTCTACAGGATGTTTTTTCCTAGTAGGAAACTAATTTCTTAAACAGCAGACAAAATTTTCTAGAATTCAATAATTGCTTAATAAAGATAATTCTCTAATTAGATAATAAGTCCTTTCCTCTTACAGATTAATTTTCCAGTAATACCTGTATTTCTGTAACATATGAGAACTATTATATTGACTGCCAAATACATTTAAGTCATTAAACTCCTTTAGCTAAGCATAGTTTAATGAAACAGCCAAATGATCATTTTCTTTATAATGAAGATCTGCAATCCTGAATGCATTTTAGTATAAATAAAAAATTCTGCCACTAGAGGCTGGATATTATTTCAATTATCCAAGACTGTTTCAGGTAAATTGACTAATCCTTTGCTAAAGTTCTAGATTGTAAAATGCACAATAAAGAGTTAAATTAAAGTTTGAATTCACAAGATTCTTTGTTCAGTGTTTCAGAAGCCAAATAAAATATAATTTGCATTACTAGGAAGGTGCTAATAAAAATACACTGCTTCCAAAGATTGAATATCAGCTCAAATAGATTGTGTATATGTGCAGCTCTAAATCACAGATTCATTTATAAATGGAAATCATTAATTCAACCACCATATTACAATAATATGTCACATTGTGGGACCTGAAATATATTCAGGTGGATGGAGTTTGCTCTCATTATTCAATATGCTTAGCCCCAAAAAATAAATAGAAAACAATAATGAGTCAAATTGATGTGGGTAGATCAGTACATGAAGAAGCCTGGGTTTTATTTATTTAGCCATAAAATAAATTGAAAAAAGGAAAATACTTATTTAACAACACCTAGCTGCTGTTTGTTCTCATAAATATCTCTCTGTCCTATTTTCAAATTCTTTTTTCTTGCTTTTCTGGTGAAAGCACCCTCACACTTATGAACTAGACCTTTGTGTAGCCTCTACCACCCTTCGCTGAAATACAAATTTTAACATGTTTTTCTATTCATTCTTTATGTTTTTATTTTCTCTTCTGTCTCTGTTTTAGTCCCTTGGTTTTTTCTCCTTTTCCTTTATACTCCCCCACAACAGGGCTGGTAGGATTGTATAGCATCTGCTGGTGGCTCTGCAGAGGTTGGACATCATTTTTCTTGATTAAGCTGAATGTTGAGAAATGAGATGTA